AGGAAAAATACGAGAGTAGCTACCGAATTCGCAGAATCGACAGAAAATAGTGCAAAAGTCTTTAGAACTTTCGCTTTCTATAAGTACAAGTGCATTTTAACGATTAACGCTTGGAAGTAATGACTTGAACGATGTTCAGCAAAAAAAACCTTGAACTATTCTTTAATACTCGATTTAAAGAATGTTGGAACGTGAACGATTTGCAGTATTCATATGTACTTTGAGAGATATCGCATCAAAAATTCATCGATGGAAAGTGGTTTTCTACAGCGAACAAAAAACCTTCGAAAGTACACATCTGTTGTCATGGATTGCGAATCCGGGGGAGCATGCATCGAGTCTTTTGAAAAGAAAAAAGGCAAGATAGGTTTTCAAGAATTTTTCGTTAAATTACGTAAAATTATGTTCAAATACCTGTCCAGGAGTACTGTAGAACGGGCCCAGGCCACCTCTCTTCTCCTAGTTGGAGAATTTCTTGTATAAAATGACTAAAAATCTACCGTGTTGCTCAACAATAGCGGATCTACAAAATAAACGAGTCGATTCATTTCCTTATAGTCGATGTTGGCTCCGAATCTGCAATTTATATATTTTTCTAAATTTGTGAACTTGTGTTTCGATCACACCCGAATGTTCGCCATCCGCCGAATTCATATAATTTTCGAGCAAGCAACCCTAATTCTAGATCTATCTTCCGTTTCTGCGAAGGGGTTTTGAGAAAGAAGTTATGAAGGCTTTTCTGCGCTAAGATTAGCCTGTGCATTTCGTCAATAATTGCTCTATAACATCAACTCCTGAAACAGTAACAAAGTTGTTTCATTATGGAGGTTATTTTACAACCTTTGCGCTTCTATTTTGGGTTAAAATTAATTTCACCTTAATCGAGGTAAACCATTTGTGGTACAAAAAAGCGTCCACAACCTCTTCTGAAGTCGTTTTGGAATCAGCGTTTCATACTACATTTGAATATTTATCTCAGTTGAAATCGCCGCCATGACCAAGTATTCTTCCCTTCAAATATTTTTTCCTAAAATAAGATGGTACCATAAAGGGTAAGTGTAAAATGATGCAAAAGCGGTACAAAGTTGTACCCTGGAGTACTGACGACAACAATTCACTTTTCCCAGGTCTGACGATGACTCAAAGGTGGCAGGAATTTTTTGACAGAATTCCAAATTTTTCTATAAACATATAACTCTTGCTTTGAGGACCGCACCTGCAGTCGCTACTGCGAAAGTACTGCCAAACGTCTGGTCTAAGAATAAAAGTGTACTTTAATCATTATAATGCAAAAACGAGGGTAAATCTT